AGTCTCGGGCTGCCCCAATAAACCGTCTGTATCCTTGCCCGTGTTTGTGACACTGGCTCTGGGCTTGGCTGTCAATATTGTTGTTGAACCTCTGATTAATTTTTAAGCAGGCTAACCTACAGTCCTCAACCTGGTTGATGGAATAGCTACTTTTCAGCTTGAGGTGATCCAAGAGGTGATCAATTTCCCTGTTCCATAAAGCAGTGATTAGGACATCAAGTGTCAGACTATTCTGTGTATCTCGAACGCTCTCACCACCTGGTTGGCAGCATATTCCAGCTATTTGTGCTCTGTAGGCTTAGGTTCAGTGAATTGTGTTAAACAGGAAATCCAGATGAGTGACACAAAGTCAGACGTTTTATGCTAGCTGTTAACTTCATTTGGCAAAATATCTAGTGCTCGTATAGGTTGTGTAGGTTTTCTGTACACTCCAGAAACTGTACCCATGATGCCAGTGAGAACAAGAGAACAGCAAGTCATTGGGGGAGCTCTGACAGTTTTGTCACTGAGGGAGAGTTATTTAAGCTCTATGACTCTTAATCATAGACCAAGTTTAATAGTATCTACTTAGCAGTTTTCTTTGGTGAGAATTGACAACTTGGAGGCCAGAAGGAAGTGCAGTGATAGCGCAGTTGGACTCACATAGGAAAGGTCCTGGATTTGCATTCAGGGACCTCCTAAAACATGCCACATGTGTGCACACATGTGCCCATGATCTCAGCTGCCTGAGACTGGAAACCTCCTGGGTGTGCTTCTCTCTCTATGTCTCATGGAATAATTAAATAGACTTAAAATCTGGTAAAAATATTTGGCATGCAGTAAACAACAACTACTAGCTATGATTTTTTTCCTTTTTGAAAAAACATTTACTTATTCTAATTTTATTTATTATCATTATTCTTCAATTTTGACCAGAGAGAGATAGACCAAGAGAAAAAGTGAGTAAGAAAGTCAGCTCTGAGACTCAAACCATGGTTGGCCATGTGGGAGCCCAGCACCTCAACCACCACATCACCTGTCAGCCCCACTAGCTCTTATTTTCTTAAAGACACTTTTTTAAAAATTTAGATTAGGGAGCCAGCAGATGGCATGGTGGGTAGGTGCTGGACTCCCACATGGCCAACCACAATTCCAGTTCTGGACCTGGAGGCTTAAAAAATCATTCCAGGCATGTGTGCATGCATGCCCATTATCCCTAGAGGAGAGTAAAGGAGAAGGGGCCAGGGCATCGCCATATCCCCGGGGGTATGATTTCTCACTTGCCCTCTCACTGTCTGTCTCTCTGGCAAGTGCATGCACCCAATGACAGAAACCTAAAAAAAAATAAAATAAAAATAAATTAGACTAGACCTTGGAAATTATCTTCCTTCATTGGTTCAGGTTTATGTTGTTGTGTATTAGATTTTTTGTGCATGTGACCATGAAAAATTATCATTAGTCCTGACCTTTGGGGCAGTAGTAATGCTGCTGAGGGTCACAAATTAAACTTCTGAGGATGCAGAGTAGCCATTGGCCCCTAGAGCTAGCCCACAGCCGGCTCCTCCCCTTTGCTTTTCCCCCCATACCTTGGAGGTATGGGAGTTTTTGTCTTACAGGAGCATAATAGGACATTCTGGGGCTACCCCAGCTAATAACAAAAGAACCAACATATTTTGAGCTCTTTGGATGTGCTAAACCCTGTATAAACTCTTTAAATGTATTATTAGTAACTAATCCTTACAGAAACACTAGGCAGGGATATTACTGTACCCACTTTACAGATGAGGAAAGGGGTTTGAGAAGTTAACGTGCTTCGCATCCTTTAGTTAAGTTTTATATCTAGAATTCAAAACCTGAGCCCAGGCTTGGGAAAAGGGTACTTGAGCTGTGTGAGTTCAAACAAGAATCTCCCCAGCTCCCAGGCCCTTGGGACCTCATGCGCTGGCAAGGAGTGGAGGATTTTGGTTGCTTTCTGAATTTGCTCACTCTGCTCACCATACTGGAGAGCCACCTTCTCTGTGGCATGCTGCGTTAGAGTTTTGTGACTACTCTAACAGATTACTGCATACTTGATGTTAAATTAAAACAATGGAGGCTTATTTGCTAATAGTTCTTGAGGCCAGACGTCCAATATCAAAGCACTGGCAAGGCCACACTGCCTTCTGAACCTCTTGGTAGATTCCATTCCTTCTCCAGCTGTTGGTGTTCCTTGGTCTGTGGGGCAGCCTTCCATCTCTGCCTTTATTTTCACAAGGACTTCTATGTGTATCTTTCAAGTTTTTCCTGTGTGTCTCTCTTAAACAAAACAAACCAAAAAAAAAAAAAAAAGATTTCTTCCACAAGAGAGAGAGACTGGCACCCCCAAGAGGTCTTTGCGCCGCTCTCCACTCCCAGCCTCAGCTAGCCAGAAGCAAGGGTACGTGTGCACCTGACTGGTACAGGAAGACCTCAGGATGAGACCCTGGGGCCCTTCCACTTGACTTCAGCATCTTGGAGCTCTGCACCATGTGGCACTGCAGCTGGCCTTCTGTGTGTCTCTAACAAGGACTCTTGTCATTGGATTTGGGGCCTACCCTTATAATCCAGAACTATCTCTTCATCTCAATCTCCTTAATTATATTAGCAAAGATCCTTTATCCAAATAAGGTCACATTCACAGTTTCTGAGAATGAGGACATAGCAGTGTCTTTCAGGGACCACCATCCACCATTCAGTCCAGTACACATGTAAATGGATGCTTGTCTGGCAGCCGGTCCAGCTCTCCTCCTTTAGCACACGTGGTAGGCAGATGACATAGCTAGCAAAGTGGAACGGAGTGTCTGGTTATTAGCACAATCTCACAGTGTGGTGTTTCAGGGTATTTCCATGCTTCTCCTATAAATGAACTTGTCTTTTACATCCATCTCCACTAGGACTTCCCTGGAGGTAGTCCCGCTGTCTTACCAGGTTTTGTTTCCTTCCAGATCGCTGACCTGCAGCTCCATAAACTGGATGAACTGGACTGTCTGATTCAGGGTCTGCTTTACGTCGACTCCGTTGGCTTCAACGGCAAGCCAGAATGTTATTATTTTGAAAATCCCACGAATCCCGAATTGTGTCAAAAAAAGCCGTACTGCCTTGATAATCCATACCCTATGTTGCTGGTTAACATGGGCTCAGGTGTCAGCATTCTCGCTGTGTACTCCAAGGACAACTACAAAAGAGTGACAGGGACCAGGTAAACATGCTTCCCACCAGGGAAACCTTCTTATGTTAGAACCCTGGCCTCCTCCCTGATGACCAGTTCATACCAAAAGGGTTTTCGTATTGAATACACTTTTAAAGAAAATATCTTGTCATCCTCAGCCAACCAAAAAGGATTTATTGGATGATATCTTAAAAGAGCAAGACAGTGATTTATATACAGGAGAATAAAACACAGTCCTTGCCCAATGGAAACTGTGGTCAGGTTGAGGAAAGGGCTGCGTATGGCAGAAGTTGGCCACCGAGGTGGTGTGGGTTAAGTGCTACATGAGTGACTCAGTGGAATATAGGCAGAAGATGTTTGGGATGGTCAGTGAGGGCTTTTGGAGTGACCTTCATTTCCAGCCTCCTTGGTGCCTAGCACAGGATGAATGGTTTGAAATAATATGCTGTTCCCACAGCAAGCCAAACTGCGTTTGTTTGTTCGTTTGTTGGTTGGTTGGTTGGTTTATTTTTGCCATAGGGTACCTATCCTCACCAGAAAGAGAGAGACAAAGAAACTGAAAAGCCACCCCCCACCAGAGTAGGGAGCATGACCATGTCGCAGTCCCTCCTCCAGTCTCCTCTCAGGGTTTTGGGCATACATGCACACGTGCCTGGCATGTTTTTCAAGCTGCCAGGTCCAGGACTCCATCTGCACAGCCAGCCATGTGGGTGGAGCTGCCTTAGCCACCATGCCACAGGCTGGCCCTATTTATTTATTTAAAGTCCGTTATTACTTTCTTTTTTATTTTATTTTATTACTTCTTTTATCAGAGAGAAACAGGTATCCCTAACAAACTAGATTTTTAAGACTTTTATTTTTACCCTGAGGTTAGTGCTCTAGCTAACAGCTGGAACAGTCAGCACACCTCCCAGGGAAGTTCGGGGTGCAGTGGGTCGGAAACAGTCCTGTGACCACAGTAGGCCAGAGTGCCTTGTTTTTTCAGTGCCGGCGTGCCCATACCCAGGTAAGGACAAATGAGCACAGCTTCCTTTTCGTGAGGATTCAACATGGGGAAAGGACCTGGAGTCAGATACCTTTGAAAAAACCCAAGTGTTGGGAACCAGCAGTTAGCGTAATGGCTATGTTGTTGGATTCCCACGTAGTCGACCGCGGTTCACGTCCCGGACCCGGTGGCTTAGAACTCACGCCGGGCGCGTGTGCGTGCGTGCCCAAGATCCCAAGAGGAGAATGGAGGAGAAGGGATTGCAGTGTGACCATCCCCCCTGGGGGGTGATTTCTCGCTTTCTGTCTCTATGTCTCTCTCTGTCTGTCTGGCGAGCGCACGCACCCTATAGTGAAAAACCTCTCCAAAAAAAAAAAACCCAAGTGTAAACCAAGTTAAACTGGTTCTCATTAAGGAAACTTAAGTATGTAACATTTCTGCAACTTATTGATTATAGAACCCCTTTTTGGAGGAAAAAACTTATGGAACTAGTGCCATGTACCATGTGCTTTGGGACAAAACGTTGCACCATTTGATAGATGAAGCTATCATGTAAGCTTCTCTGAGTCTCCCTCAGCGGCCTCCATTCTGTCTTAAAAGAAATTAAAAGAAATTGTGTCTTGGATCATTTCTGTGGGCTTTTCCAGTCCAGAAATTCTGCAGTACTCCCGGTATTGCTGAGCACTGTTTTCCAGTGTATTATGAGGCTCTGGGGATGGTTTAGCACCCCACCCAGAAGAGCTGTTTGGCAGTGTCTGGAGACATTTTTTGGTTGTCACGGCTGGAGGAAGGTACTGCTGGCATCTAGTGGGTAGAGGTCAGAGAGCCTGCTAAAGTCCTGCAGTGCACAGGGAATCTCTCCCACAACCGAAAGTTATTGAACCTCAAATACTGATAGTTCTGCTGTTGAGAAAGTTGGGTGCATATACACCCACAAACTCTCCCTCTCTCTCTCTCTTTCTCTATGAAAGGATTCAGAGTTTAGGCTATGTTCATTGTTACCAGCTGTATATCTTATCACTGAGACTCTAGAGCTTCTTCCTTGGTCACACAAGAATCCAAACAACCCCCTGGCCTTATTAGGGTTGTCAGGAAATGTCAATATTTCCACAGAGCTGGTTTTAACTTAAAGAGTGATCTGATAAAGGTCCAGCTTGTAAGAAACTATAGACTTCATGGTACGATCTGGTGGCATGGTAGCGAAGGCACTGAATTCCCATATGGCCTACAATTCAAGTTCTGTACTAATGGCTTTAAAATCATGCCAGGCACATGTGTGTGTCTGTGTGTGTGCCCAGAATCCCAAGAAGAGGATGGAGGAGAAAGGATTGCGGTGTGGTCATCTCCCCTCCTCCCTGGATTGATTTCTCACTTTCTCTGTCTCTGTCCAATGAGTGCATGTGCCCCAGGGTGGGGGTGGGGGGATAAACAAATAAATAAAACTTTATAAAATAAAAAAAAGAAGAAGAAGAGAGAGAGAGAGAAAGAAAAAGGGGGAAAAATGTAGACTTCCTACCAGAAGGAGTCATTGAATTGGTAAAGCTAGTCCCAAGGTAACAATTAGAGGTATTTACAGTTTTGTTGATTAAGGCTTAACAGTTTTATGAATTGCATGACAGGTACATTCTCATACTTGGAGGCTCCAGAAATCTAGGTCATCTCCTTAAATAGCTGCTAACGAGCTAATTATGGTGTTCCGCTTCTATTTACATGAATAATAATTTATGAATTCCAGCTAGTGGCAAATGCCCCTTAATGGCCAGGGCCCTGCACCTGTCAGCAAACGTTGCCTAGGTTTGGAGTGCTCTTTCTTTAACCAGTAGTTTTGGAAATGTGCTCCAGGAGCCTGAAGATTTATTGGAAGCCTTTCCAGGGACTGCCTCAGGGAAAGGAGGAGATTGAGACAGCAAATCTTGGGGTCCCTGGCCCTCATCTGTCCAGAGTTGTTCTGTCAAAGGTTTCTTTTGATCCAAGTTAAAAAACCTCTGACTTAAACTATAATGGTTAGCAGGGAACATCAGCATTTGGAACCCATATTGGGAATCACTAATCTAAGCATCAAGGTTTGCTATTTCTATTGTGCACTGATAGCCATAACTCCAGGTTTTTTGTTACTGTATCATATCCTGTTTTTCCAATAGCATTTTTATTTTTAAAAAGCCACTTTTTAAAATAGGCTATCAGTTTTGTTTTCTTTTGATTTCCTTTCTTTTATTTATTGTTTTAGAGAATTATTTTATTGAACTTCTGTTAGTAGTAGTAGTAGTAGCAGCATTAGAACAGAGAGAAACAGAGAAAGAGAGAGGGAAAGTGAGAAAGCAAGCCGCCAGGGCTGAGAATCAAACTATCGTCAGCCACGAGGGAGTACAGCACCTTTAACCACCACACCACCTGCTGACCCCTATTTATTTATTTTTTATTTGTTAGCATGTGCATTCTACAGAGAGAGAAAGAAAAAGTGAGGAATTGTCCCCTAAAAGGAATGGCCACACCACAGTCCCTTTTTCTCCATTCTCTTCTCGGGATTTTGGCCATGCACACATACACTTTCGGTGTGTTTTTCAAGCCACTTGGTCTGCAACTTGTTCTGTGCAGTCGACCATATGGGATCCAACTGTCTTAACCACCACAAACTGGGGGCCACAGGCAGCCCTCAGTTTTCTTGTAGGTATGGTTTTAAATGGTTTATTTTAGTGTTAAGTGTAATTTTATCACATAACAGATTACATAGCAACCTTTTTTTCCTAGTGATACAACTCCAGTTTTATTACAGAAGTCAATGAAAAAAATAGTATTTCACCACTGAACATTACAATGTGTAGTCTCTTAAAAGAGGAATGTAAAAAAACTTTAAACTTTGGTGAAAGTAGCAGCACACCTCATCTCATCATTTTGGAATCTTTTAAGGGCATGAGCACTCAGCAATTGAAGGTTTCTACTTCTCCCTAAAATCCTTCACTACAATGTTATTTCTTCATTTTGTTTTAAAATGATGACAATATCCAGTGGCTTTTCTAGCAATTTTTGTCTCTGATATATCAAGGATTTTACTGTGTGTCTGCCAAAACAAACAGATGTATTTGATCATGAGCAAGGAAATCACTTGATTAAATAATGGTTAGCAGATTGAGGATATTAATAAAGTGCTGAGAGACTTTTGGCTTTTCTGCAACTGTGCATTCTTTCCTCCAATCTGCAGTACATTAGCTCTGCAAAACCATGCTCACTGTCCCCATTCAGCTCTGGTTCTCTGTCTGCAGTCACCTGTCATTTTCCAGCCATGCCAGGGACTTGTCCTCTTTCACTTACATCGACACATCAATCAATGAGTTACCTTCTTTCTAAGTCAGCCAGTGTCTCCAGTTTCCTGTGTCTGGAGTAGGTTGTTGAAAGCTTTGATTGATATGAATACCTAGTACTCAAAGAAGGGTTATTGGTGGGGGTGAAAACTATTTAGAAGCTAGAAATGTGAGTGAAGACATCTTTTAAAAAATGCACAGGAAAAAAATGAAATAAATCCAAATAGCTCATAAACCAAAAAGTGCCCCCATGAGAACACACTTGCTCTGTAAGGCAGGTTAAAGCCAACAAGATAGCATGGTACAACATGTTAAATGTAAACAACTTTCTTAGAGGAAATCCAGGGTTCCTCCTGTGCGAGTTGTCTAGATAGTAATGTACACGGCGTTCTTTACTTCCTCACGGCCCCACACCTGCAGTGTGGTACATGTCGCTAGTGGGCCCAAGCTACATAACTGTCCATAAGAATCCATCATTTCAATCAATCGTATGTTTGTAAGAATCACAGTTTAAGAATATCATACCTAGGGACCAGCAGTTAGCGTAATGGCTGTGTCGCTGGACTCCCACGTGGTCGACCATGATTCGCGTCCTGGACCCAGTGGCTTAAAACTCACGCCGGGCGCGTGTGCGTGTGTGCCCAAGATCCCGAGAGGAGAATGGAGGAGAAGGGATTGCGGCGTGGCCATCCCCCAGGGGATGATTTCTCGCTTTCTATCTCTCTGTCTCCCTCTGTCTGTCTGGCGAGCACACGCGCCCTATAGTCAAAAAAAAAAAAAAAAAACTCTCAAAAAAAAAATCCCAAAATATAGGTTAGTCATAAACATGTGCACAGAGACGT